CATCATCATCACCTCCTGATGATTCCTCTCCACGTCCGCCTCATCCTCCCTCCTCCCCTTACTGCTCTTCCTCCCTCTCCTTATCTCTCGTTTGCTCCCCCTTCTCCTCCCCCCCTCCTCCACCCCTCCACTTCTTCCCCACGGGGCGGCCGATATGTGGACAGTGGCACAGCCAGAAAATATAAACCTTCTGTGCTTCTCTCTCTCTCTCTCTTTCTCCCTCTCCCCGCCGCTGCCCTCCCAGCCGCCCCCCCCCCTCCATGGACGGCACCCCGCCCCGCCACCCCGCAGGGGGGAGGAGGAGGGGGATGATGATGATGATGATGATGATGATGATGATGATGATGATGATGATGATGATGATGAGGAGGAGGAGGAGGAGGAGGAGGAGGAGGAGGAGGAGGAGGAGGAGGAGGGGGAGACGGAGGAAGAGGAGAAAGCGGGATGGTAGCGCCCATGTGATACCAATGCCGTCAGTATGCAGTACGCAGGAGGAGGAAGAGGAGGAGGACCCCCACCCTTTCTGGCTAACAGCCTTTTTGTTCCGTCGCTGGCGCATCCCGCGGCGACACCCCATGCGCGCCCTCCGCTTCGGCGGCCCTCTCGCAATGCGCCGAAGGCCTGCGCCTGACGCAGCCTCCCTCATGTTCTTGCCTCCTCTCCTCCTCCTCTTCCTCCTCCTCCTCCTCTTCCTCCTCCTCCTCCACCTCCTCCCGCCCTCCCTCTCTCCCTCCATCCATCCTCCTCCTCCTGCTCCTCCTCCTCCTCTTCCTCCTCCCCCTCTCTCCTGTCTTCTGCCCCCCCTCCCCAGAAACACGTGAAACAGAAGCGTGTCTTCGCGTCGCGAGAAAATTATAGCGGTTTCCAAGGTCGATTGCGTGCCCGTCCAATGCGGGCTGGCATGGCTGGCAGTGACGTCACACTCGCTTCCCGTTAGGTCCTCTCCTGCAACGCCCTTCCTCCCTCTCTCCTCCTCCTCCTCCTCCTCCTCCTCCTCCTCCTCCTGCCTGCTCCTTCATCCACATCATCCTCCTCCTCTTTCTCCCTTCCATCTCCTCCTCCTGCTCCTCCTCCTCCTCTTCCTCCTCTTCATCCCGACCGGCATCTCGGAGCCCAGAGTTGCGAGGATGTCTCCAGCGTAACGGGCTGGACCACCTCGCGCGCGGCATCTCGGACCCCAGAATTGCGACGATGTCTCGGGCGAAATGTGCTGCGAGGAAGTCTCAGGCGAAACGGGCCGGACCACCTCGAGCGCGGCGTCTCAGAGCTCCGAATTGCGGCGGCCTCCTGGGGCCTCCTGTGGCCTCCTGGGGACCTCCTGGGGCTTCCTCCTGGGCCTCCTGTGGCCTCCTGGACCCCACCTGGGCCTTCCTGAAGCCTCTTGGGGCTTCCAGGGGGGGATATCTAACATGTAGCCGTCTGGGCCCCCCCCAAAGAGGGGGGGGCCACAAGAGCAGGAAAAATTAACGAATCGACACCGGATGTGGATTAACTTGACACGCTCTGATAGGGGGCCTCCTGGGGCCTCCTGGGAGCCTCCTGGGGACCCCTGGGGCCTGTCCTGGGCGTCCTGCGGCCTCCTGAAGCAATTGGGGCCTCCTGGGGCTCCCAGGGTCCCAGGGGGGATATATAACATGTGGTCTTCTGGGCCTCCAGGCTGGACCACCTCTTGCGCGGCATCTGTGAGCTCAGAGTTGCCAGAATGTCTTGTGCGGAACAAGTCACACTACCTTGCGCACGGCATCTCAGAGCTCAGAGTTGCGAGGATGTCTCAGGCGAGACGGGCTGGACCACCTCGCGCAGGGCATCTCAGAGCTCAGAGTTGCGAGGATGTCTCAAGCGAAACGGGCTGGACAACGTCGCGCGCGGCATTTCTGAGGTCAGAGTTGCGAGCCTGTCTCAGGCGAAATGGGCTGGACCACCTCTTGCGCGGCAGCTCCGAGCTCAGAGTTTCGAGAGGCGGAGGAGGAGGAGGAGAAGGAGGAGGAGGAGGAGGAGGAGAAGGGGTCGGAGGAGGAGGAGGAAGAGGAGGAGGAGGAGGTGGAGGACGAGGAGGAGGAGGAGGAGGAGGAGGAGGAGGAGGAGGAGAAGGAGGAGGAGGAGTAGGAGGAGGAGTCCTGGCCCCTGCCGATGAGTCCCCGCCCCCTCGCCGTCTGCCTGCCCTGCGCGACCAGAGGAAAAAAAACACCCTCCACCAGCAAAGCACCTGGCGGGGCGGTTGCACGCAGTCGGGAGGAGGGCCGCGCCCAGCTGAGAGCGCCCCCACGGCCGCGAGAGTGGGGCGGGAGTCGCGCAGGAGAGGAAGAGTGGGGCCGAGAGCAGCTGGACGGGGAGGATCGGGAGGAGGGGGGCGAGGAAGAGGGGGGGGGAGGGGCGAGGGAGACGAGTGCCAGGGCGAGGGCGGGGAGGAGGCGGGGCAGCTCAGGATGTTCTACGCGGGGCCAGCTTCGCTGCTGCGCGGCTTCTTAGTGCAGAGCTTCCTCCACGAGTCCAGCAGCTCCTCGGCGCGGCGCCAGAGGAAGGTGAAAGGAAAGCTGGGGGGATGAGGAGAAGGAACGGGCAAATGGCAGGAGGACCATGAGACGAGGGAGAAGGAGGGCGAGAACTCTGGAGAACTCCAAACTTTTCTACAGTACACATCTCCAGACGCCGCCCGTAACTGCGACGCGCGTCGGGGGCGCTCAGCACCCTCCGCCAGGCACGGGCCCGGACGGCTACACCGCGCGGTGCACGCACACCATGTCTCGCGCGCGCAGCGGCAACATGCGAAAGGCGACCGATGGCACCACCGGGAGCCTTCGAGCCAGCGAGGAGCTCAGAAGAAGGAAAAACCACATTACCATAAGTTGTTCCAAACCATCCTGTGGTGTTGGGTCCTCGTTTTGAAGAGACGGTGGCCCGCGTCTCCTCTCCTCCTCTTCTCCTCTCCTCTTCTCCTCTCCTCTTCTCCTCTCCTCCTCCTCCTCCTCCTCCTCCTCCTCCTCCTCCTCCTCCTCCTCCTCCCACCATCATCATCGTCATCACCCATTTCGGCACACCCCTCACACGTTTCGTGGCCCCATAGGGAGCTCCACAGAAGGTCCCAGTGGGTGTGCCCGCATGCGTCCCGCACACACACACACACACACACACACACACACACACACACACACACACACACACACACACACACACACACACACACACACACACACACACACACACACACACACACACACACACACACACACACACACACACACACACACACACACACACACACACACACACACACACACACACACACACACACACACACACACACACACACACACACACCACACACACAACACACACACACACACACACACACACATCACACACACACACACACACACTACACACACACACACACACACACACACACACACACACACACACACACACACACACACGACACACACACACACACACACACACACACACACACAACACACACAACACAACAACACAACACAACACACACACAACACAACACAACACAACACAACACAACACAACACAACACAACACAACAACACAACACAACACAACACACACACACACACACACACATTTCGGCACACCCCTCACACGTTTCGTGGCTCCATCGGGAGCTCCACCGAAGGTCCCACTGGGTGTGCCCGCATGCGTCCCGCACACCCATTTTGGCACACCCTTCACATGTTTCGTGGCCCCATAGGGAGCTCCACCGAAGGTCCCAGTGGGTGTGCCCGCATGCGTCCCGCACACCCATTTCGGCACACCCCTCACACGTTTCGTGGCCCCATAGGGAACTCCACCGAAGGTCTCAGTGGGTGTGCCCGCATGCGTCCCGCACAATTCTCGGTCCACCCCTCACACGTTTCGTGGCCCCATAGGGAACTCCACCGAAGGTCCCGGTGGGTGTGCCCGCATGCGTCCCGCACACTCATTTCGGTACACCTTTCACACGTTTCGTGGCCCATAGGAGCTCCACCGAAGGTCCCAGTGGGTGTGCCCGCATGCGTCCCGCACACCCATTTTGGCACACCCCTCACACGTTTCGTGGCCCCATAAGGAACTCCACCGAAGGTCCCAGTGGGTGTGCCCGCACGCGTCACCCATGTTGGCACACCCCTCACACGCTTCGTGGCCCCATAGGGAGCTCCACCGAAGGTCCCAGTGGGTGTGCCCGCATGCGTCCCGCACACCCATTTTGGCACACCCTTCACACGCTTCGTGGCCCCATAAGGAGCTCCATCGAAGGTCCCAGTGGGTGTGCCCGCATGCGACCCGCACACCCATTTCGGCACACCCCTCAGACGCTTCGTGGCCCCATAGGGAGCTCCACCGAAGGTCTCAGTGGGTGTGCCCGCATGCGTCCCGCACACCCATTTTGGTCAACCACTCACACGTTTCGTGTCCCCATGGGAGGCTCCACCGAAGGTCCCAGTGGGTGTGCCCGCATGCGTCCCGCACACTCATTTCGGTACACCTTTCACACGTTTCGTGGCCCCATAGGGAGCTCCACCGAAGGTCCCAGTGGGTGTGCCCGCATGCGTCCCGCACACCCATATTGGCACACCCCTCACACGTTTCGTGGCCCCATAGGGAGCTCCACCGAAGGTCCCAGTGGGTGTGCCCGCATGCGTCCCGCATACCCATTTTGGCACACCCCTCACACGTTTCGTGGCCCCATAGGGAGCTCCACCGAAGGTCCCAGTGGGTGTGCCCGCATGCGTCCCGCACACCATTTCGGCACACCCTTCACACGTTTCGTGGCCCCATAGGGAGCTCCACCGAAGGTCCCAGTGGGTGTGCCCGCATGCGTCCCGCACACCCATTTTGGCACACCCCTCACACGTTTCATGGCCCCTTAGGGAGCTCCACCGAAGGTCCCAGTGGGTGTGTGCGCATGCGTCCCGCACACCCATTTCGGCCCACCCCTCACACGCTTCGTGGCCCCATAGGGAGCTCCGCCGAAGGTCCTTGTGGGTGTGTAGTTTCGGCACACCCCTCACACGTGTCGTGGCCCATAGGGAACTCCACCGAAGGTCCCAGTGGCACAGTCCGCATGCGCCCCCGCCATCCATGTCGGCCCACCCCACACACGCTTCGTTGCCCCATAGGGGTTCCGCCGAAGGTTCCAGTGGAACAGTCGGCATGCGTCCCCGCCAATCATGCCGGCACACCCCCCACACGTTTCGTGACCCCACAGGAGCTCCTCCGAAGGTCCCATTGGCACAGTCCGCATGCGTCCCCGCCACTCATTTCGGCACACCCCTCACACGCTTCGTGGCCCCATAAGAGCTCCGCCGAAGGTCCCGGTGGCACAGTCCGCATGCGTCTCCGCCATTCATGTCGGCCCACCCCTCGCACGTTTCGTGGCCCCATAGGAGCTCCGCCGAAGGTTCCGGTGGCACAGTCCGCATGCGCCCCCGCCCGCCATTCATTTCAGCACATCCCTCACACGTTTCGTGGCCCCATAGGAGCTCCGCCGAAGGTCTCCGTGGCACAGTCCGCATGCGTTCCCGCCATTCATGTCGGCACACCCCTCACACGTTTCGTGGCCCCTATAAGGGGCTCCGCTGAAGGTCCCAGTGGCAGTCTGCATGCGTTCCCGCCGCTCATTTCGGCACACCGCTAACACGCTTCGTGGCCCCATAGGGAGCTCCACCGACGGTCCCCACGGCGCAGTCCGCGCGCGTCCCCGCCATTCATTTCGGCACACACCCCACACGTTTCGTGGCCCCATAGGAGCTCCACCGAAGGTCCCAGTGGCACAGTCCGCATGCGCCCCCGCCATTCATTTCGGTCCACCCCTCACACGTTTCGTGGCCCCATAGGGAGCTCCACCGAAGGTCCCCGTGGCGCAGTCCGCATGCGTCTTCCTTGCCCAGTACAGTGTTACGTGGCCCCATATGGAGCCCCACCGCAGGTCCCAGCCAGCCAGCTAGCTTTGCTCCGCGCAGCGGGCGACCCGCGCGCGTCGCTGGGACCCCTCCAGGGCGACCTGCGCGCGTCGCGGGGGCTCCGTGCTGCGTTGTGCCCAGCGCCTCGCTCGCCCGTCGTCGCTCTGCCCAGCGGCAAGAGCATTGCCCGCTATCAGCCAGCCAACCAGCTAGCTCTTTTTGCTCCGCGCAGTGGACGACCCGCGCGCGTCGCTGGGACCCCTCCGGGGCGACCTGCGCGCGTCGCGGGGACTCCGCGCTGCGCTGCGCCCGCAGCCTTGGACTTTTGAGTGCGCGGGCAAAGAGGGAGTAAAGGAAGGGGAGGAAGCGGGCGCGATCCTCGCGGGGGGGCGCGCCGACATTGGCGTCGCGGCGCGCGGGCGATGCCGTCGGGGAGTCCCGGGGAAGCTCCTTGCGGCGGCCACGCCCAGCGTCACGAGCACTCAGAGGCAGTCGTTGTCAAACTATTGACAATCATACACAATTGCACCACGCTTTGTCATATTCGCATTCATGCACGTAGACTCGCTCGCACGCAGATTCATTCACAGTCAGATGCACGCGCGCAGATTCACCCGCGCTCAGTCTCCCTACGTACTCAGATCAATCGTTTTCGTTCGCGTTGTGTACCACGCCACTCATGTCGGCACACCCCTAGCACGGTTCGTTGCCTCATAAGGATCGCCACCAAAAAAGTGAATCACTATTGCGGTACTCGCACCTGCATATGGTTGGGCCCCTCGTCAGGCTAATTGGCGCTCCGCGCGGATTTCTTGGATTCGCGCTGGACCCCCCTCCCTGGCGCGCGGAGCGCGCCAGGGGCGGCGCCGGAGGCGCGGCCGGGGGGGGGCCAGCCGCGGATCCAAGAAAACCGCGCGGGGCGCCAAACTGTGATGTTTCTGTTTTTCCCAACCATCCTGTGGTGTTGGGTCCTCTCCACCGTCCGCATGCGTCCCGCACACCCAGTACAGCGTTTCGTGGCCCTATAGGGAGCTCCACCGAAGGTCCCAGTGCTACCGTCCGCATGCGTCCCGCACACCCAGTCGTGGCCCTCCTCCCCCTCCTCCCTGTGTTTCACCCACCCAATACAGCGCTTCGTGGCCCCATAGGGAGCCCCACCGAAGGTCCCAGTGCTACCGTCCGCATGCGTCCCGCACACCCAGTACAGCGCTTCGTGGCCCCATAGGGAGCTCCACCGAAGGTCCCAGTGCTACCGTCCGCATGCGTCCCGCACACCCAGTACAGCGTTTCGTGGCCCTCCTCCCCCTCCTCCCTGCGTTTCACCCACCAGTACAACGTTTCGTGGCCCCATAGGGAGCCCCACCGAAGGTCCCAGTGCTACCGCCGCATGCGTCCCGCAGGCGTTTCGTGGTCCATAGGGAGCCACCGAAGGTCCCAATGCGTCCGCACACCCCAGCGTTTCGTGGCCCTCTTCCCCCTCCTCCCTGCGTTGCACCCACCACCCAGTGCGCGCTTCGTGGCCCCATAGGGAGCTCCACCGAAGGTGCACTGCTATTGTCCGCATGCGCCCCGCACACCCAGCACAGCG